ATGAGGATATTAAACATATCCTCGAAGCCCAAGGCCATTCTGTCCTCCAGGCAGACACGTTTACTTGGCCCCCTCGTGGTCGTCGCCGTCAGCCCCTTCGAGTTGTAAAAATCTCTTTTAATAGTAGGGCCCTTCTGCCCTCTATTATTCTTGCTGGTACCAGATGCTCCGTTCAGGAGTATATTCCCTCTCCTAGACTTTGCAATAAGACTTGGAAGTTCGGGCACGGTGTCCTCAAATGCACCAGTACTATGTATCTGTGCCCCTTGTGTGGGGACGATAGTCATTCTAAGTCAGAGTGCACTTCTCCCCAGGCTCGTTGCCTCAGTTGCGGTGAAGCCCACCCTACCTTCTCACGCTCGTGTATGCACTACAAACTCGAAGTCGTCCTCAACTTGAAGCACCGTGATCGTCTGTCTTTTCCTGAAGCGAGACGCTAAGTTTGTCGTCTCATCCCTTTCGCGGGCGTCTCCTACGCTCGCGTGTTGCGTTCTCTCTCTCCTCGTCCTTCCCGTCTTCCTCAGTCTCACAATCGTTTACAGGCCTTAAACCCGACCACACTCACCACCTCCTTCCCTATTCCTTTGCCTCCTGTCCCGGATAGTCTCCCTCCCGGTTCTCCATCTGGGGTTCCCCCCTTCCTACCCAGTCCACCATATCTCCTTTGTCTTCTTCCCCATCTCCCCCCACTCTTTCTTCCCGACCCTCCCCCCAGTCTCTTGACCCTCCACGCCACCTGTCTGTCCAGGCTGATATCCATCATCCTCCCAGCAATCTTCGTGTTGTTCGCTCTCGTTCCTCTTCTCCTGCTGAGACCATTGAGTCTGTCGCCCGGTACGTTGTTACTGGAACGCCTGTCTCTTCGAGTCAGAAACGTAAGCCTGGCTCCTCTCCTTCTTCCTCTCCAGCGGGTAAGAAGGTTTCGCTTTCTTCCTCACCCCCTCCCTCTGACTCTGTCACTACATCCCCTCCCATTTCAGTGGTCGAACCCCCTGTCCCAGATATGGAGGTTTCTTTCGCCCCCGATTCCCTCTCGGTTGCTGCCCTTGCTGAGGTGCACTCCCTGATTTCTGCCCCCCCCCCCTCCTCCAACTGTCCTTGCCTGCCCCTCTCAGTTGTCTCCTCCTCCTCCTCCGGACCCCGTCAGTCCGCCTCTGGTCTGTTCTCTCGCTCCCTTCCCTCTCTCCTTACTAAGTTTACCCATGCCCCCTAACCCTGATTTTGCCGACCCTGCTCCTGATCCTGATCCTGAGATTCTTTAATAAACTGTGTTCCTCTTTACCTTTATTTCTTTCTTGTTCTCTGTTACTGTCCTTTCTCTTTGATAATGTCTATTCTTCAGTGGAATATTCGTGGATTTTATGCCAACTTCCATGAACTCCAACTTCTAATTACACAGTTTACACCACTTTGTGTTTGTCTCCAGGAACCAATGCTTGGTGCTCGTCCTGGTCACTTTCGTGGTTATTCCTTTCTTTCTCCCCCCCCCCCCCAGCTCTTGCTGGGGCCCATAACTCTACTGCTCTCTTAATTCGTTCTGATATTCCCTTCGTCCCCTACTTCTTCCGTCACCTATCCATTGTTCTGCTGCCCGTGTTTTTGTGGGTAAATGGTATACAGTCTGTTCCATTTATCTCCCTCCAAATGTCCCTCTTTCCCTTCCTGATCTTAAGCACCTCCTGGACTCCTTGCCAGAGCCGGTGCTCCTTTTGGGTGATTTCAACTGTCGACATTCCCTCTGGGGTGATGTTCTGACAAACACCCGAGGCCGTCTTCTCGAACCGTTCGTCCTCGCTTCTTCTCTATCTCTTCTGAATTCTGGTGAGCCCACTCATGTGGACTCTCGAACTCGCACCCTTTCCTGTCTTGATCTTTCTCTCTGCTCGTCGTCCCTTTACTTAGATTTCACGTGGCAGGTTCTTGATGACCTCCATAACAGTGATCATTTTCCCATCCTCGTTTCCTTTTTCTCTTTCCACCCTTTCCTTTCCTTCCCTAGGTGGCAGTTTGCTAAGGCTAACTGGTGCCTATTCACCCTCCGTGCTACTCTCTCTGACTTCTCCTCTCTGCCTCTTCCTCGCGCCCTTCTCCTTTTTTATGACACTGTCTTCAACGCTGCCCTCCGCTCTATTCCTCGCTCTTCCTCCCGGGGCACACGGAAGTGCATTCCCTGGTGGAATGTGGACTGTGCTCGGGCTGTCCGCTGTAAGCGTGCAGCCTGGAAGAAACACCGCCGCCGGCAGACGGCTGATTCTTTTATTCTGTTTCGGAAGGCAAGTGCGGTGGCCCGTAGGACCATCCGTACAGCTAAACGTGAGAGTTGGAAATCTTATGTTTCCACCATTACGTCCGATACTCCTCTGCCACAGATCTGGAAGAAGATCCGCAAGATTGCGGGCAAGTTCGTTCCAGATGTCTCGCCGGTTCTCCACCTCTGTGGTACTCTTGTGGCGGATCCAGTGAAGGTCGCGGCCGAACTGGGTTCCCACTTTTCTTCTGTTAGCTCTGGTTCTCATCTTCCTCAATCCTTCCTTCTTCGTAAGCCTGTTCTGGAATCTTATCCTTTAGATTTCCACACTCATCATGGCCTTTCCAATAACGATCCTTTCTCTCTTTCTGAACTTCGGTCTGCCCTGGCCCTCTGCGGATCTACTGCAGCGGGGCTCGGATGATGTGCATTAGGAGATGCTTTGCCATCTCCCTACGTGCACCTCTCAGTATTTACTGAATCTGTATAACCAGGTCTGGGAGTCGTCGTCCGTCCCTGAGGACTGGCTCGATGCCATTGTACTCCCTATTCGGAAACCAGGGTCTCTCGGTACGTCCCCTAAGGACTTCTGCCCTATAGCTCTCACGAGTTGTGTATGCAAACTGTTTAAGCGTATAGTAAATGTCCGTCTGATGTGGTTCTTGGAACACCATCACCACCTCTCTCCATCTCAATTTGGTTTTCGCAAGTGCCGCAGCACGACTGATGTCCTGGTGAACTTGGAGGTCTATATTCGTACTGCTTTTGCTGCGAAGATCTCCGTTGTTGCTGTCCTTTATGACCTGGAAAAGGCTTATGACACGACTTGGAGATACCATATTCTGTCCCAACTTCGTTCTTTTGGCTTTCGTGGTAATCTCCCTCTCTTCCTTCAAAGCTTTCTCTCTCGTCGTACCTTTCGAGTCAGGCTTGGTGCCACTCTCTCTGCCTCTTTTCGGCAGTATGAAGGTGTGCCCCAAGGTAGTGTTCTGAGTACTACTCTCTTTCTGGTTGCCCTCAATGGTCTTCTTTCCTCCCTTCCTTCTGGCATCTTCTCCGCTCTTTATGTTGACGATCTTACTCTTTGCTGTCGGGGTGATGATTCGCCTCTCCTTCAACGGCGGCTTCAACTTGCGATTGATGCCGTGTCATCTTGGGCCACCGATCATGGCTTCAAGGTCTCTACTACTAAGACTTGTGCCATGACTTTTACTCGGAAGCGGGTCGTTATTCGTCCCTCTTTGACACTTTATGGTCATCCCCTTGAGTACAAAGATTCCACGAAGCTTTTGGGGTTATTCTTTGACACTCGTTTGTCTTGGTCGCCCCATGTCTCTTACCTCGGTGATGAATGCTCTAAGGCCATTAACCTACTTAAGGTTTTGTCCCATACTTCTTGGGGAGCGGATAGGCGCACGCTCCTCTATTTGCATTCCTCTCTCGTCCTGTCTAAGCTCGATTATGGTTGTCCTGCATACTCTTCTGCTTCTCCTACTCTTTGCCGTCTTGATCCTTTGCACTATACTGGGTTGCGCCTCAGCTCTGGTGCTTTTCGTTCAACTCCTACCCTCAGCTTGTACGCTGACACTGGCTTTCTATCTCTCCAGGATCGCCGTGATCGCTACAGTCTTCGCTATCTTGTGCGATCCTTACAGCATCCTCACTCTCGCCTCTATCGTGCTTTGACTTTTACCCCTCCTGAAGTTCCTGTTCCTCTTCACCACCTTCCTCTTTCTGTGCGTTTGCCTCGCTTAGAAGATTCTCTTTCGGTTCGTATTACTAATGTTTCTCCTTGTATTGTTCCATCCTTGCCCCCCTGGAGGGTCCCTCTTCCCAAATTTTGTACTTCTCTGACCCGCATCACTAAAGCTTTTACCCCTCCTACAGTTCTGAAACGTTTCTTCCTTGAGCACTTTTCTTCTCACTCCCACTCCGTTCCCATCTTCACCGACGGGTCAAAGTCTGCTGACGGTGTGGGCTACTCTGTTGTTTTTCCTGACCACACTTATGTGTCGCCTTCCTCCGGAGGCTAGCATCTTCACAGCAGAACTCTATGCTATTCTCTATGCTCTTCGTCTCCTGCTTTCCCGGTGTCAATCCTCCTTCATGGTGGTAGTTGACTCTCGTAATACCATCATGGCTTTAGGGTCCTTTAATCCGGTCCACCTGGTGGTCATCGAGATTCAACATTGGCTGTTTCTTATCTCCAGTAAATTTAAGTTGGTTGAGTTTTGCTGGGTTCCCAGCCATGTTGGTGTCTCTTTAAATGAGCGTGTGGATGCTGCCGCTAAGGACGCTATCCGCACTTCTCCCATCTCCCGTAAAGGTATTCCTTATTCCGACTTTTACCCAGTTATTCATGCCTCCATCCTTACCCGATAGCAGAGTTGTTGGTTTTCTATTATTGTCCATAATAATTGAATGACCCTTGGTATTACTTTAAGTGTTTTGGTAAGGAACCCTAAAGAGCCTCCCTTGTTTAACACATCTAAAAATGCTTGTCATTTCCTGACTAACTCTCTGTTTTGGGAGGGCTTGGCTTGTCTAAAAATATCTATACCTGGTCCATGTGCTCTATCATAGACCACGTACTATAACTCGGACATTATACTATATCTTTGGTGGTCATTATCTACATTAATTATGTACATTCTTGACCTCTTAGAGAAGACTGTGGCCAGTGATGAAGGGTCAGGTGCTGGGCGACGACAGTTACACCTGTACATAATTATGTCCGTTGTTTACCCCTCAGAGAAGACTGTGGCCGGTGATGAAGGGTCAGGTGCTGGGCCACGACAGTTACACCTGCACAGCTTTCCCAGGAAGTGTTCCATGGCCCACGCAGCGGGTGGACGGGTTCTTCGTGGGGTCTCCCAGGTGTGTTAGTGTGTGTATACTCGCCTATTTCTTCTTTTGCTCTTGGACTCCGCCTTTCCAACAGATGGTTGTTCAATGGCGTGACTAGCTATATAGTTCCTATCATCTATATATACATTCAAAATCACCAATGGACTTTATATCTATAATTTGCTCATTTAGTTCTTTCCATTTCCCTGCTACTCCAGTGCTAAAATCTAATATCTCTGTCGCTCATCTGTTTCTCAAGCTTCCATCTTGTGCTGCTGCTATTTACAGTGAACATCTTTTCTGCCCTGTCAGAAACTTCAAGTATTTTGTCTGTTGTGAAGTACTATGTCAGAGGTTTTGGCAGTCCATATATATGTATGCCCGCTGCTTAACCTTTTCAGCTTTATCTTAATTTCGTTACTTTATTATCGAGGTCCAGTTAGGTCTCAAGGCATGATATTCCTAATTTAAAGTCACGTTAGTGATTGTCTATACCTAATACTATCAACCTATTTAACTAATCTTACCCTTATCATTTTCTGAGTACTTTGCTGGAGAATGTTTGTCAGTGACACTCATCTATAGTTAAGTACCTCGACCACATCTCTCTTGTTGTATATTGGCACCACAATTGTCATTTCCCGCAGATTGTAAAACTCCCTTCACAACTAAATCACTTGAGATGAGAGTTATAGGTACTTTATAACTCCAGTATACCTACTATCTTTCAGTACCCTACTGAGAGATAGTAGGACAAGAGGACACGAGTGGATGCTGGAATCACAAGTCGGTTAAAGAAATGTAAGGAAATACTCGTACCCTGTAGGGGTGGTCAACAAGTGGAATGCACTGTGAGAAGAAGTTTTGGAAGCCTTCTCTATCCTGAACTTTATGGAAAGTTTCGACATAGACAGTGATTGTTAGAATAGTAAAGCTTTATCGCAACGGGTACAACAAGGCTCGTAGGCGGGACACGAAGAGCTAAACCTCACTTCCTTGTTGTCACTCATAGACAAGTAATGTGGAGGAATCTTCAATGTACCTCCAGGTACACTGGATAGGGAGCTTGAATGTACCTCCAGGTACACTGGATAGGGAGCTTGAATGTACCTCTAGGTACACTGGATAGGGAGCTTGAATGTACCTCAAGGTACACTGGATAGGGAGCTTGAATGTACCTCCAGGTACACTGGATAGGGAGCTTGAATGTACCTCCAGGTACACTGGATAGGGAGCTTGAATGTACCTCAAGGTACACTGGATAGGGAGCTTGAATGTACCTCAAGGTACACTGGATAGGGAGCTTGAATGTACCTCTAGGTACACTGGATAGGGAGCTTGAATGTACCTCAAGGTACACTGGATAGGGAGCTTGAATGTACCTCCAGGTACACTGAATAGGGAGCTTGAATGTACCTCAAGGTACACTGGATGGGGAGCTTGAATGTACCTCCAGGTACACTGGATAGGGAGCTTGAATGTACCTCCAGGTACACTGGATAGGGAGCATTTAAGTACAGCTCCTAATAAAAACGCTACTCCTTTATCTGTTTTGCAGATTTATATTTTGTTTAGGTTTAACTGTTTAAGCAGAAGTGTGCATACTATAAGAACTATTTAAACCAAAGGAAACAAGAAAATTATATACTTATTTCTTACCTACTTAGAAATAGTAATATTTCTCATTTTACTCTTTCTTGAACATGTCTTTTACCTGATATGATGCGGCACATTTCCAAGAAAATATTTTTCAAAAGTCACTATATTGGTATAAATGAAAAGATCGGGGAAATTTTTTATAAACCTTTTAGATATGTTATTAAATATTTCTTACTGGAGGAGGTTGCCGGCAGTGCCCGGGTTTCTCTCTCTCCCTCTATCTCATTTTCCTTACTGTCTCACTTCCCTTCTCCCTTTCTCCAATTCTCCATTCCCCTTCCTGCATCTCATTCTTCTTTCCTATTCTCTTTCCTTCCTTATTTCAGTCTCCCTACCATTCTTTCTATCGGATTCTCCCTCACTCCCTACCTCGCCCCCCCCCATTCTCCCTTGTGTTCTCTCGCGCATGAAGATTGTTCTCTCCCACAATCGGCAACACGAGATCTAGTAACATTGAATCTGTACTGCATCAACATTATTGATGTTGAGTCAACATTGAATAAAAGTGACCGACGTTGAATCAAGGTTATCGGCGTTACACAAACGTTGAATCAATTTAATTGACGTTACATTAAAGTAATCGACGTTACATGAACGTCATCGTCATTGATTCAATATAAAGAACAGCATTAAAATGTTTATTCACTCTACGGATAATAAACCCACCTTTTCATACTTTATACAGACTGCTGTATTATAACTGATACTCACATAGTTGTACTTGCCTAGTTGTGCTTGCGATTGTTCTACTCTGGATCTTTGGTCCCGCCTCTCAACTGTCAATCAACAAGTGTACAGATTCTTCAGCCTTCTGGGCTCTATCATATATTCATTTGAAACAGTGTATTGGGCCAGCCTCCAGCACATCACTACCTAATGCATTCCATCTAGTATACTCTGACACTGAAAGTTTTTTTCTAACGTCACTGTGGCCCATCTTGGTACTAAGTTTCCACCTGTATCCCCTTATTCACGTACCTCCCGCGTACTGGTGTATTGTAGTCTAGTCTCCAAGCTTACTGCTGCGAGATGGCTGGTCTACAGTCGTTCAGTCTCTGTTCACTGCTGGCTGGTACAATGACCTCTAATCTTTCCGCTGACTGATAAGTGGTAAAGAGTCCTCTCATCGCTCATTGATGGCTAGTGCACTATTCTTCCTGCTGATTGATGGCTGGTGCACTATTCTTCCTGCACTATTCTCCCTGCTGATTGATGGCTGGTGCACTATTCTTCCTGCTTATTGATGGCTGGTGCACTATTCTTCCTGCTGATTGATGGCTGGTGCACTATTCTTCCTGCTGATTGATGGCTGGTGCACTATTCTTCCTGCTGATTGATGGCTGGTGCACTATTCTCCCTGCTGATTGATGGCTGGTGCACTATTCTTCCTGCTGATTGATGGCTGGTGCACTATTCTTCCTGCTGATTGATGGCTGGTGCACTATTCTCCCTGCTGATTAATGGCTGGTGCACTATTCTTCCTGATGATTGTTGGCTGGTGCACTATTCTTCCTGCTCACTGATGGCTGGTGCACTATTCTCTCCGCTCACTGATGGCTGGTGTACTATTCTCTCCGCTCACTGATGGCTGGTGCACTATTCTCTCTGGTGCACTATTCTATCCGCTCACTGATGGCTGGTGCACTATTCTCTCCGCTCACTGATGGCTGGTGCACTATTCTCTCCGCTCACTGATGGCTGGTGCACTATTCTCTCCGCTCACTGATGGCTGGTGCACTATTCTCTCCGCTCACTGATGGCTGGTGCACTATTCTCTCCGCTCACTGATGGCTGGTGCACTATTCTCTCAGCTCACTGATGGCTGGTGCACTATTCTATCCGCTCACTGATGGCTGGTGCACTATTCTCTCCGCTCACTGATGGCTGGTGCACTATTTTCTCCGCTCACTGATGGCTGGTGCACTATTCTCTCCGCTCACTGATGGCTGGTGCACTATTCTCTCCGCTCACTGATGGCTGGTGCACTATTCTCTCCGCTCACTGATGGCTGGTGCACTATTCTCTCTGCTCACTGATGGCTGGTGCACTATTCTCTCCGCTCACTGATGGCTGGTGCACTATTCTCTCAGCTCACTGATGGCTGGTGCACTATTCTCTCCGCTCACTGATGGCTGGTGCACTATTCTCTCCGCTCACTGATGGCTGGTGCACTATTCTCTCCGCTCACTGATGGCTGGTGCACTATTCTCTCGTTCACTGATGGCTGCTCACTGATGGCTGGTGCACTATTCTCTCCGCTCACTGATGGCTGGTGCACTATTCTCTCTGCTCACTGATGGCTGGTGCACTATTCTCTCCGCTCACTGATGGCTGGTGCACTATTCTCTCCGCTCACTGATGGCTGGTGCACTATTCTCTCCGCTCACTGATGGCTGGTGCACTATTCTCTCCGCTCACTGATGGCTGGTGCACTATTCTCTCCGCTCACTGATGGCTGGTGCACTATTCTCCCTGCTCACTGATGGCTGGTGCACTATTCTCACTGATGGCCTATTCTCCCTGCTCACTGATGGCTGGTGCACTATTCTCCCTGCTCACTGATGGCTGGTGCACTATTCTCCCTGCTCACTGATGGCTGGTGCACTATTCTCTCCTGCTCACTGATGGCTGGTGCACTATTCTCTCCGCTCACTGATGGCTGGTGCACTATTCTCTCCGCTCACTGATGGCTGGTGCACTATCCTCCCTGCTCACTGATGGCTGGTGCACTATTCTCCCTGCTCACTGATGGCTGGTGCACTATTCTCCCTGCTCACTGATGGCTGGTGCACTATTCTCCCTGCTCACTGATGGCTGGTGCACTATTCTCCCTGCTCACTGATGGCTGGTGCACTAGTCTTCCTGCTCACTGATGGCTGGTGCACTATTCTCCCTGCTCACTGATGGCTGGTGCACTAGTCTTCCTGCTCACTGATGGCTGGTGCACTATTCTCCCTGCTCACTGATGGCTAGTGCACTAGTCTTCCTGCTCACTGATGGCTGGTGCACTATTCTCTCCGCTCACTGATGGCTGGTGCACTATTCTCCCTGCTCACTGATGGCTGGTGCACTATTCTCCCTGCTCACTGATGGCTGGTGCACTAGTCTTCCTGCTCACTGATGGCTGGTGCACTATTCTCTCCGCTCACTGATGGCTGGTGCACTATTCTCTCCGCTCACTGATGGCTGGTGCACTATTCTCTCTGCTCACTGATGGCTAGTGCACTATTCTCTCCGCTCACTGATGGCTGGTGCACTATTCTCTCCGCTCACTGATGGCTGGTGCACTATTCTTCCTGCTCACTGATGGCTGGTGCACTATTCTTCCTGCTCACTGATGGCTGGTGCAATATTCTCCCTGCTCACCGATG